CATGCTGCGTATTCAAGGTCACTAAATGTGTGTGCTTTGTGAAAGCACATGACCAGCTACATACCTGATGTGTGAAGTTGAACATAATATGTATATATATGAGTATTCATATTCAAGGAGTGTGGAGCTAATGAAGATGTGGAGCATCTATTGGTGCATCAGAGTTTACTGAGGTAGCAATGGTTCTGAGGCCACTCACATCTGGGTGGGTCATTATACAAATAGGCAAAAAGAATTCCAATGGAGATCATGCCATAATCAATTCTGAAAATTTCAGAGACTGGAAGGCTCTCTTCACTCAATATGAACTGCTGAAGCCTACATAGAGCTTTCTCTGTCTCAATCACTACATAGTGTCCTCGGTATTCTAATATTACTTAATTTTTTATCAACACTTTTTGATTTTATTTAAATCTCATGATGTGAAAAAAAAGATTTGATAAAGGAGTATTTAAAACCCTTATTTGAAAAGGGTACAAAGCAGTCAGACTTCAGAATATGTGCCTCACAAAATATGAAACCCAACATACATCTAAAGAGAGAAAAATAACACGAAAACTACCAAGGTTATCAGCCTTACATTAATGTCTTTGTGGTGGGATTGCAATCATCATAGTCATAAAGTTAATGATATATTTTCATATATCAGCCTACAAAATCTAAAATCCAATTGTTCTTGCTAGAGAGTCCAGGCTACAGAGAGTATTTAAGATTTTATTTTAGAGGTATCGATGGCATTGGTCATGGGAATTTTAGGTTTATCACTAGTTGCAAATTATTTTTCTGTTGTTGGTGTTTTTAACTTCTATTTGTAAAGTGCTCAGTATAATAAAAGCAGAACCAAGTTCAGATCCTTCTACTTTCTTTCCTTCTTCTTCATTCCTTTTAGAATGACTTTTCCCCAAAACAGAATGTGACCTCTTGAGTAGGACCTGAATTTCCTCATCTGACCCTTCCACTTTTTCAAAAGGACCAGTGGCTCCAAGCAGACATGACACTCAGGCTCTTGTGGAAAGTGCTTCTCAGATCAACCACACTGCTTTTTGAGTTTAGTAGAGAATGACAGGCTAAAAGGATTGTGTAGTAGAAAGGTCAATCTTCTTGACTGGCCCTCCTAGAAGCCCCTCACCATTTGAGTCTTTCCAAAGCTGATACCTCTGCAGGATGCTTTGAGGACTGGGAACCCGACCCACAACCCTGCACTGAAGCCCAGTCTCCATTGGGATGTACAAGGAATTCTGGGAAGTATTGAGAGTCCCATAAAGGTTGGTTACAATAAACTTACAGTCACTTTAATCTGCAAGTGTAGGGTCCCAAGAGTGGGCCAAAAAGGATGTTTAGAGAAGAAGTTTCAAGGAAAGAATAATTTGTTCAGGCTGTTTCTGCAGGACTTCAATAAATATATGTAGAAACCTGAGTCACATACTCAGCCTCTGTGTTCTTATATTCTCACTTTTGTTCACCTCCATCTGCACAATACATTAGTCAATCATGTATGGACATGGCATGGACCTTGTCACAGCTTAGAAATACTCGTTCACTAAATTTTTGAGCACCTTTCCATTTAACACATCCATCTTTCTAGTTAGTTTATTCATCCCATGTTATTCCACACAATCACTTACATATACATATCAATTTACATATAATATGCAACATTAACTTTATTATATTACATAGGCCTATATAATGTAGGTATTATGTACAAAGAATTAGTATGTGTGTGTGTGTACATATATAGCCTTCAATCTTCTTTTCTTTTAAAATCCTTTGTATAAAATCTAGTACTTATAGTCCATCATTTCAGCCATACCATAAATAACCTTGATATCTATTTTTCCATCAAAACTACCTTTCAAAATGTTATACCTTGCTATCCCTGTACCACTAAGCAACTGCTAGAAATAATAACACAAAATATCAGGTTGTTACTGTTGTGAGTTCATGGTAACCAACCTCATCTGGGTTTTCAAAATATCCCACAATATGTTTGCATTTCTCTTTCTTTATTGAGGAGGGACATAATAATATACTGACCTCCCTGGATGGGTATATTGTTCAGACTCTGTCCGCTAAGGTAAGTAAAGATCTTTTGTTACTTCTATGTCTCCTCAGGAGCCAGAATTCCCAGGCCTGATGTGGAAGATTAAGCCTCCTCATTTTTGATCTGTGGATGTGTAAAATGAGATGGCTTTTGCCTGCCTCATTTCTTCTTACTTGCCCAAGTGTGGTGCTCTCATCATTTTCTCCACCAGCTAGCCTGAGTTACCACATTAAGTAGGGAAATCATGTCTGGGTAGAGGGGAAATAGCTAGGTCTATGTTCTGTCTTCCACTAATTTCAAAGACAATCTTTTGATGTCAACATTGTAGTGAAGGTCTTAGTCATTGCCAAAACTGAAAAATAAAATGTACATGTCCTGATTGGACAATTGTCCCCTTTCCCGACCCCTCCAAATTTATATGTTGATGTGTTGATGTCCTAAGTCTCAGTACCTCAGAGTATGACCTTACTTAGGGTTTCAATGACCCTAGTTAAATTAAAATAGTTACATTAAAAAGTTTAATAGTTAAATTAAAAAGAGGTCATACTGGAGTATAGTGAGACAGGAAGTAGCACAGTCAGGACTTAAACCCAGAGATTTAAGACATCTAAGCCCTTGCTTTCAATATCTTTACTCATAGAGTTAATTCTAGGAGAAATGAGACAATACAGTATCTCAAGCATCAGTTATTGAAGTTAATAAATGGTATTGTAGCTATCAATTATGCTGCTGATGCTGTGACTACTGCAGCTACCATCTTCACCTTTAAAAAGAAAGGTGAAGAAGGCGTAAAGGGGATCAAGAAATAAACACAATCTTCTTCACCATTACACTTGTTTCTGAGGCTAGTATTTATGTATTTAAGACACCAAAGATAGCAGCTGTGAAGAACATTTCTATTTATCTGTAAAACATGGAACATGATTTAGAATATGTTATTACCCAACTTTCACCTATTTAAGGTGAAAACACCGAAGACCTAAAAATCCTCAAAGAGCCTTGTTTATCCCCTGAGAATATTGGTTGCCTAACACTAATTCTAGGACCTTTTCCCCCATGTTGGAAAAGGTAGCTCTAGGCCAAGTCTCTTAACACCACCAGGAATAGCTCCGTTCCGGACTCAGAGCTGTGATAGTATTGGCACACACTTGCAGACATGGTAGAGTTCAAATGTCTCCACAAAGTCAAGAAAATAGAAATAATATTTGATAGTTATATTACTTTTAAATGCCTGAAATGTGCTTTTGTTTTCATGCAATTAAGAAAATGATAATAGAATTTATTTTATGAATCTAAGCGCCTATCTAGAGAAGTTCAATAAGTCCTCATGTACATGAAAGCAGCATTTAAATGGAAATAATATTTTCTTGTGCAGAAAATGTTTCTGAACTAATCTTTCAAACTTCTAAAGTAGTCACTGGTTTGAGTAATAAATAATGACACTGACACTGAAGTCTCAAAGAATCTAGTATGTTGGGTTTCAACATTCAAACTACAAATACTTCAGAAAAAGCCATGTTGACCACATAAACGAATACAGATAGCTCAATGTATGCACACATCTCTGTTATTTCCATTTTCTATACTTATTTTTCCTTCAAACAAAACTAATCATGATTCTTTAAGCTCCTACTCTGAGTGTCTTTACCATCTTTTTGCCTAAACCATTTAACTTGCTGTCTAAGGTACAGAAGATGTCTGTTCAGCTGAGATGTGGCCAACAAACAAATTAACTATTTTGTATCTTGATATCTTCATCTGGAATCAGTGCCTAACACTCTCCCTCATGGGCCACCATAATTTTCAAGTGAGATGACATGTAAAAGGATCTAGCACTGTGTATTTTATTTACTGGATAGTCTATAAATAGAAGTTCTCTTATTCTCTTTCATTCAATGTTCTTGAATACCCATAGTTGCATAGTTCTATTAAATTTTTTATTCAATTTAATTTCTTGAAAATGCTAGGTGGCAGGTAATATTACTTCCACTTTCAAAATAGAGAAATTGCTGCTAAGAAATACTCAGTATTCACATAGCTGCTTCATGGAGGAGCTAAACCTCACCCTTAATCTTTTGATCCTAAGTTATACAACATGGTTGGTGGCCCTGCTTACTTGTATCCATTTATATTCTTAATTCTTCAGCTTGATCATCTTTCTGATTCAGATTTTATTTAATAATATATTCCTCCCTGGTGTTTTCTTTTTCTTTTTTTTTTGAGACAGAGTCTCACTCCATCACTAGGCACCAGGCTGGAGTGCAGTGGCATGACCTCGGCTCACTGCAACATCCGCCTCCCAGGTTCAAGCAATTATCCTGCCCCAGCCTACCAAGTAGCTGGGACTACAGGTGCACGCCACCATGCCCAGCTAATTTTTTGTATTTTTAGTAGAGACGGGGTTTCACCATGTTGGCCAGGATGGTCTGGATCTCTTGACCTCGTGATCTGCCCGCCTCGGCCTCCCAAAGCGCTGGGATTACAGGCGTGAGCCACCGCGCCCGGCCCCTGGTGTTTTCTTATTATTTCATGAGTACAGTTTGCTTCTTTCCTACTAAGCTCATGGAGGCCACTCCTAACTCTTGGACTAAAATACTAAATTAAATTAGCTTAAGAAAGTTTAATTTAAAAGGCATAAAACTTATGGCCTATGTCTGTTCAAAAGATTTATTTAAAAATGGAATTTGTAATAATCTCTGCCTTTAGCTGTTATATACTGTCTTAAATATAGGGTTACAGAACAGTACATTGAATAGTTCTTGTAGATACTACCCTTTCTATGTTGGGCAATGCACAATTTGGCACTGGGAAAGAAAGTATTCTCTGTGAGAAGAGAGATCTTTCTTTGCCCAATTAAAATCACACAGAAAATGTAAATAAATAAATAATCTTTATTTCTCATAGTTATAATTGAGCTTTTGCAGAATAGACTCTTCCTCTCTCAAACAGGCAGACTCTAACCTTCTGCTGTAATCTTGGTTTGAACAAATATCTGGATGATCTTCCTTCGTATTTCTTTGGTCTTCACAGTATAGACTATGGGGTTTAGCACAGGGGGTACAAGAAGGTAGGCATTTGCCATGAGGACATGAGTCAGTGGTGACAGGTGCTTTCCAAAGCGATGAATGACAGACACCCCAATGAGTGGCACATAGAAGATGAGTACAGCACAGATGTGTGAAACACAGGTGTTGAGTGCCTTCAGCCGACCCTCTCTTGAGGCAATAGCCATTACTGTTTGAAGTATAAACACATAGGAGAGGAGGATGGATAGGGAGTCAGAACCCTTGGTGAAGATGACAGCGATGAGGCCATAGAGACTGTTGACATAGGTGCTGGCACAGGCAAGGTGCATAACATCTTGATGGAGGCAGAAGGAGTGGGAGAGGATGTTGGAGCGGTAGAAGGGGAGCCTTTTGATGAGGAAAGGCACAGGGAAGACAACACAGACTGCCCTTGACAAGATGACTAACCCTGTTTTGCAGACCACACCGTTGGTTAGAATGACACTGTACCTGAGAGGGCTCCAGATTGCCACGACCCGATCAAAGGCCATTGCCACCAGCACCCCAGACTCAATGGCTGAGAAGGTGTGGATGAAGTACATCTGAACAAGACAGGCATCAAAGGCAATGGACTTGTAGTTAAACCAGAATATTCCTAGCATAGAGGGCAAAGTACAGAGGGCAAGCCCCATGTCTGCCAATGCCAGCATGCACAGAAAGTAGTACATAGGGATACGTAGAGATGATTCAGATTTGATGGCAGAGATTATGATGCTATTGCCAAAGAGGGCAACGACATATATAGCACCCAGTGGGAATGCCATCCAATAATACTTTTGCTCAAGCCCTGGAATTCCAGTTAAGACAAAGTAAAGGTGTTGGAAGTGGGAGTAATTATCTGCATGATGCCAACGTGAGGTTACCATGGGAAAGAAACCTGTGGGATCCTGATGAGTGGTTTCCTAAAAATACAGTGACAAAGATTAATGATACATTAGACTCTGAATTCCTTGAGAGTGGAGCTATTTTTTTCCCACATGAATGTGTATGTTAGGGGGTAGGGGAAGCAAAGTTTAAGAGGAGACAGAATCCCTAAACTTATTACTCCAAGGTGTATCCTGTTGCGTAAAGTTCTACTGACCTAAGGAAAAATGACTCATCCAAGAATAATTAAGCCATATTCAGCTTAAAGCAGACACTGTAGCACCAACCCATTAAGTAAAATATCTTCTGCCTCTCCTGTTACTTTTTTCCCTGTTTCTAATTGATGTCTTATAAGCTATTGAGTCAGAAACTGAGAACATAATAACCCAGCCACTATAAGTATAACAGAGTCAATATGAAATATAAATCATTTGATTATCTGCAAAGAATGCCACTCCCAGCCATCACACTTCTTATGTCCAGGGCTTTCATGAAGGCAATAGATCTTGTACCTAGGACAGGGGTGGAAATACCCCTTGCACACACCTATGCTTCTCTTCAAGCATGCCCCTCCTTTGTTTCCTCAGAGCCTCAGAATCATTGTCAACACAGGAAGCACAGACACTTCAATCATTTAAAATTAAAAATGTTTGTCACCTCTAAATTAGTGAAATCTTAGAATATGGCGGAGTAAATTATACTTGGTAAAGCAACAACAGCAATTGTTGTCTAGAATAACCCATTCTGTCCAAGAGAAAGTAGATACCCAGGGCTCAGTGGAAGACTTTTTCAGGATCAGAATTATCTGGCAATCTCTAATTGCTAAGGCACAATGATCGTGTTACACCCTGATTTTTTGGATTATGGAGGCCTCCATGGAGATCTGGAAGGCACATTCACATTGCCAGAACCAGTACCTATACTATCAAAGACCGTTTGATAGGCTCATTCTACTTTGGACACGGTTGCCAAAAGTAGAATATATTTTCACTGAAAATCTGTTAACCTTAAGACTCTCACGAGTTACCTTGATCTATTGATTGGAATCAAGTTGACTAAGAGGCAATGTAGTGTTAAGAGCATGGACTTTAGATCCACACATCCTGTATTTAGATCCCAGCTTTGCCTGGTCCTCAGTAAAGCCCCTACATATGTAATGTGTGGGCAATCACAATATCTACTTCATAGGATCAGTGTGAGATTTAAAATTTAAAAGTCTTAGAAAGAAAATATGTTCTTTTATTATGATAAATTTGAGCTAAAAGTTTTGTTCTTCATATTCAGTATTAATATTGAATTATTTTTTTCTATTTTTGTTTGTGTGCATTTTTTGACCAGAGTTTTTGCAGTGGAGGTGAAAACTAAGAGATTATCCTCTGTCACAAATAATCACATTTAATTCTGCATCCCTTGCATTTTTTAAATAATTTACTCTTTGCTTTACAATTATTGAGCATTCCATCTCCAGGCTGTGTATACATTTCTGGTTGAACCATTCTCATGATAAATCAAAAAGCATATTATAAATGTTTTTAACATCTCCAAAAATACTCTTTGAAAGATTTCTAATCAAGTTTTCCCTAACCATAGCCAGAGTATTTTATCTATATATGTAAAATGTCAATTTATGTCCATTTCTCTCACAAGCTGACTTAGTTCAAGTTTGTGAACTAAATGAAATGCCAATAAAAGTTTTCATCCATCCAAATAACTGTTCTTCTGGTTTTCTCGTGTCTTAGTGATTTTTGAGAAAGAAAATTCTTATAATTTTGTCAAACAATTGTAATAGGAGGAATGAGGGAAAATTTTGAGAAATGAGAAAATGAGAGACAAAAGAAGAAAATAAGGTGGGAAAATGGAAGGAGTGAAAAAAATAAATTAAAGGAAAAAAACCAAAAATTCAAAAAATAACAGAGGTAAAAACTGAACTATTTCACAGCCTGGAAACCATCATTCTCAGCAAACTGACACAAGAACAGAAAATCAAACACCACATGTTCTCACTCACAGGTGGGTGTTGAACAATGAGAACACATGGACACAGGGAGGACAGCATCATACACTGAGGTCTGTGGAGGGGATCTAGGGAAGTGACAGCAGATGGGGGGGAGTTGGGGAGGGATAACATGGGGGGAAATGCCAGATATAGGTGATGGGGAGGAAAGCAGAAAACCACATTGCTATGTATGTACCTATGCAACAATCCTGCATGTTCTTCACATGTACCTGAAAACCTAAAACAGAATAAAATATATATTTTAAAAAAGAAAGAAAATCTAAAGCCTAGATAAAGAAAATAACTTGCCCTGGGTCAACAACCTGTTGGTAGATTAAAAAAAAGAGAAAAAAATGGGGTAGGGAGTGAAGGGAACTGCATAGTCTTGTTGAGGAAAATTACAACTAAGTGCAGTGGAAGCTTGGGTGCTCCTTTAGAGAAGACAAAGCCAAAATGCATCTCTTGATCTTGCACGAGTCCTCAGATTTTTTATTTAACTATATTGCCCAAAATCTAGAAAACAGGTCGAGTTCAAGTCTACCTTATGAAGATAAGGCTCTTGGACCCCAAGTTCTGCCTCTGAAAATTTTTCCTGGCTTGTCATTCTACTGCACATACTGCCACATTTCTGGGAAAACAGGCCATGTAAGTGTTCTGTATCTGCTCCCTAGGCTCCCGCAGCTTATGTGGCCTCATTACAGATACTAGATTGAAAGAGCAGGTGGCAAATTAAATAAATTATAAAATCTGTTTACTATGTGAATAGTAGCAAACAAACAAAAAGAAACCCCTTCATTTGCTCTAAGTGTTAGAAAAAACTCTCAGGTTTCCAGGCATTCTAGGACATTGTGGTTAATAGTATAAGCTTGAGACTGACCTTAAAAGAAGAATTTATTCTTCATTATACTAGTATGTCAGATGGGCAGGTGGGCCTTAAGAAACAGAAATAAAAACCCTCTTGAAATAGAGATTAATTGTAATCATCTTTCACCTGAGAGTAGAGCCACAAATTTCTTTCTTTAGGGAGAACATTTCTTTACTACAATTATTCCGGGTTCTAGATAAAAGGATTTTTTTAAAAGACCCAATACCTAACCAATCAAGAAGGATGCATGCCATATTCTATACCTGACACTTACCTTCTGCCTACATTTATTTCAGTCACTGAGAGCTTCCTACCTCCAAAGGCAATGCATTCACTGTACAGGATCTGATTTCTATCCACCTCTTAGAAAAGAGTCATCTGTACACCATTAGGATAAATAAGTTGTGACTTTATATCTTTCTTTTAAAGCAGATGTGAGTGGGAAAGAGGACAAGGCACAGGACTTGTCTCCACTTGGGTAGAGGAATGAAGAACAAGGAAGATAAGGAGAAATGGAAAGAAGTACTTGGGAGCCAGTTAGAGACTTCAGTAATGATATCAGAACATGTCCTGTGGACTGACCAATCTTATCTTCTGGTTTTATGTCCAAACTCACCTTGTTGCTGAGAGAAGCCTCAACTAGAAAATGATTCTTAAGCAGCCTGAGGTTTGCCTGGCAAAACCACTGTCACTACTCCATGAGGACTTTTATGTCCTGAGCTGCTCCAGTATTCCTCCCATTACTGTGCCATAGAGAGTTTCACATATCCACAAACAGGGTTATTCTACAGAGACTTCAAAGACCAAGGAGGTTTCTCTAGGGCTCAAATCACCCTTTAGAGTCTCACATCTGGGAAAGAAGATAATATTGAGGACATTTGAGAAATGTATGTGTGTGGAGGAGGGGACATTGGGAAGTTCAGGGCTGGTTACTGCTCAATCACACTCTCGGAGACATCGTAACCATTTCACTGTTTCAGTGACCTCAGTAAATGATAGTTACTTTTATTTTTCTCAAAACATAGGAAAGCTAACAAAAAAAGTTCAAGGAAAAGTTACTCCATGATTTTCCCATTCAAAATGATTCTGTAGTTGAAATGGCTTCCTAATAAATGAATATTTCTGCAATTTTATTTGTGTGTTTTTCAACCTTCAATATCAACTTAGTCATAAGTCATGTCCTGTGTAAAAGGAAGGTAAAAAGTCCTTCAGGGAAGCATGAATCAATGACACAATCAGTCAAGAGACAATGAATATTCCACAATATTACATTTACTTTCAGGTGCTACCACTCCTACCTGCTTTATGAATAATAACAACAGCAGCAATAATAAAACATTCTACATTAATTCTGCACTTTAGCAGTCATAATATTTATCACATTCATTTTATACTTCAATCATTAGAACACACATAAATCCTCATAAACACACATGTAATCCTCCTACGAAGTGGATATGTTACTTACATCCTCATTGTTCAGCAAAGAAAAGAGGACATTGAGAAATGGCCCAGATTCTAGATGTAATTCTAAGAATTCAATTGTAGTAATTACTTAGGATAGAAATAATAGAGAAGTGGTTTCTCAATGCCGGAGGTGTGTTCTGGACTTCCTGCATCTTGAAGATCACCATGGCTAGGTAAGGAAGACATGCTCAAATAGAATGAGACTTGCATTCCAAGCTCTCTTATTCATTTATCATTCATCTACACAATAGCCCCAGAGTAATTTAATATTAATGCAGATCACTCTTTTAACATGAGAGTCTCTCAAAATGTTGAGTTCCGTAACACAAAATTTATATCTACATCACATAATCACTGTTTCAATGCTGTTTGAGCTAATTAACATGGAACTTCTCTACTTGCGATGTTGTAACCTCTATATTCCACTGTTTATAATAAATGTTTCACCTTGCAACCCAGTTATGCCCTTATTAATATTTTTCTTCTATATTGACACAAAGTGGATCTAAGGAATTGAATCACTCTGATTTTATTTTAGCTGCTCAGCCAATATTTTATTACTTATCCAGGTGGATCATTTGTATCTTACATGGAATCTCATTTTTTTAAATCTTAGCTTTTGATCATACATTGCTAACACAATTATAAAATTGAACCAATGTTACTACGTCTTT